GAAATGCTGCTTAAAGAGATTAAATTCACACATATTTTAGAATATTTATTCAATAAATAATTGAATAGAATAGACTATAGAATAAGTTTAATATTAGTGCACTTGTGGATATAGCTCAACATATTATGTAATCAATATGTTAAAATGTTGATGTCAACATTTATTTAAAGTCACCTGAAAACAATATGACAAAAAAAAATTATTGGAACATATCTGTTCAGTTTAAAAAAGACACCTTGTACATTTCAGGGAATACATTTGCATAATTGGTTTAAAAAAAAAGTTGAATAAAATAATTTGTTTAATCACAAACTTGCATTCAACTACTTAACTCGGCCTGGTATTGCAGCACACATTTCAAATTCACCATGGGCATGGCAAATTCAAATCCTATTTCATAGACATTCCCTAATATTAGAACAGAACCCCGCCCCCCGCCAGAGCCACACATACATGAACATCCTGGTACATGTGAGGAGCACCTGCCGAGACCTTGACGCCCGACAGAGGCACAGTTAAGGGCTGGTCCCTTTGAGTGGCCGCATAGAAGCGTCTCTGTGGAGAGAGAGACAAATCATCATCTACTGACCTGAACTTCCTGCGGCAGAAACTTTACTGGCTCCACGGCTGCCGCAACCTCCACCCTACGGGCAGCCTGGGCTGCATAAAGCCTCCTCTGAAAATCACAAAAGACATCACGCCTCTGAAGAAAGAGTGTGTGCAAAATAACAGAATAAAGAGGGGAAGAGCGAGGCATGGGATGGCTACTTAACCCGTGTTTCACACAAACAAAAGGGTTGATGCTTGGGTAAATAAGAGAGATACAGGCCCTTCTTTTGTGAAATGTGATTGTCAGTTGAAGTCATAACACCAGAAATATGTTATTAAACATTCTAAGCTGTGTGATGGTCTCATCTAAAAGAGGTAAGAAGTCAAATTATTATCATACTGTTGCTGCACCTACCTCTTACAACCCTATATGTATATGTATGTGTATATATACAGTACAAGTATAAAGTGTCGGTCATAAGTTTGAAAACATTACTATTTTTGAAAGAAGTCTCTCATGCTCATCAAGCCTGCATTTATTTGATCAAATATACAGGAAAAAAACTGTAATATTGTGAAATATTATTACACTTTAAAATAATGGTTTTCTATTTTAATATAAGAATTTCTACTTTAAAATAGAATTTATTTCTGTGATGCAAAGCTGAATTTTCATAAGCCATTACTCCAGTCTTTAATGTCACTTGATCCTTCAGAAATCATTCTAATATGCTGATTTGATATCAATGTTGGAAACAGTTGTGCTGCTTAATATTTTTTTGTAACCTGATACTTTTTCCAGGATTCATTGATGAATAAAAAGTTAAAAAGAACTAGCCTAGAAATCTAGACGCACCCTAGCGGCAGCGAAAATTATTTCGCAGCCAGTGTGGTCTAGCAACTCTCCATAGGCTTTTTGAGCTGGAAAAACCAAAAACTGGTCGGGCCAATCACATCGTGTATAGAGTCGGGGGGCGGGCTTAACACAATGACGGCACAGTTCATGACGTTCCGCGTGATTTCCATAGGTGATTTCCCTGCTACTTGAAAACAATGAAGATGCAGCGGTCTTTCGAATCGGCTTTGGCCGCGACTCTGGAGGACTTGGAGTTAAGAGAACGTCACTTAAAGGAGTAGTTCACTTTTAAAAAAACTTTTGCTGATAATTTACTCACCCCCATGTCATCCAAGATGTCCATGTCTTTCTTTCTTCAGTCGAAAAGAAATTAAGGTTTTTGATGAAAACATTCCAGGATTTTTCTCCATATAATGCACTTTGCTGGGCACCAAACGGTTCAAGGTCCAAAAGACAGTTTCAGTGCAAACTGCAAACTGTTCAAAGGGCTTTAAACGATTCCAGACGATGAATAAGGGTCTTATCAAGCGAAACGATCGCTCATTTAAAAAATAAATAACAAAGTTTAAGTTTTATAAGCTCAAATGCCCGCCTTGCTCTGTTCTGTGTGACTCTCCTGTTCGAACTCGTTCATCAAAATGAACGAATCTTTTTCCGAGTCAATTCGTTCATTTCGTTAAATGAATCAAATGACTCGAAAAAAGATTCGTTCATTTTGATGAACGAGTTCGAACAGGAGAGTCACACAGAACAGAGCAAGGCGGGCATTTGAGCTTATAAAACTTAAACTTTGTTATTTATTTTTGAAATGACCGATCGTTTCGCTTGATAAGACCCTTATTCATCGTCTGGAATCGTTTAAAGCCCTTTGAACAGTTTGCAGTTTGCACTGAAACTGTCTTTTGGACCTTGGACAGTTTGGTGCCCAGTAAAGTGCATTATATGGAGAAAAATCCTGAAATGTTTTCATCAAAAACCTTAATTTCTTTTCGACTGAAGAAAGAAAGACATGGATATCTTGGATGACATGGGGGTGAGTAAATTATCAGCAAAAGTTTTTTTTAAAGTGAACTAATCCTTTAAGTCATTCTTAAAAAAGGAAGATGTGTTCGGATTTTTGCCGTCCTGATACGGCAAAAGTTTAATATATCAATTAGCTCCGCTGGTGGAAAAACGCATGGGACTCACTCATCCACAACCGTTCGTTGCTCTGGTTGGTTGTAGCGTTATCCTATTGCGTGCAGAGGGATTTTGAAAGGTAACCGTTTATCCCGCCCCTCGGATTGAGGCATGTCAATGGAGAGTTCCCAGACCTAACATCTTGATGTAGGTCTGGCATGCCAGGCTAAAAAAGAACAGCATTTATTCTAAATATGAATCTTTTCGAACAATATAGATAGACTAAATCTTTAATATAACTTTTTATCAATTTAACACATCCATAAAAGTATTAATTCTTTCAACAAAAAAAAGAAAGAAAAAATATTACTGACCCCAACTTTTGAACGATACAAAATATTTTTATTTTAAATAAATGCTGTTCTTTTTTAAATCTTTTTATTTGTCAAAGAATCCTGAAAAAAGTATCACAGGTTATAAAAAAATATTAAGCAGCACAACTGTTTCCAACCTTTACAGTCTATGTTTCCAACATTGATAATAAATCGGCATATTAGAATGATTTCTGAAGGATCATGTGACACTGGAGACTGGAGTAACGGCTGATGAAAATTCAGCTTTGCATCACAGAAATAAATTATATTTTAAAGTATATAAAAATAGAAAACCATTATTTTAAAGTGTAATAATATTTCACAAAAATAATAAAAATAGTAATGTTTCCAAATTTTTGACCAGTTCTGTATGTATGTATGTATGTATGTGTGTGTGTGTGTGTAAAAGCTATTAAACTTTAGGATTAATGAATCGCATGACAACTAAGATAAGTAAACCTTTCTCTCTCACACACACACACACACTACATTTTCATTATGTCACTCTTCCTGCTCTAGTACTGCTGACTTGAAGTGCTGTCATATCAGTAAAGGAATGCTTATGGGTTTATGGAAATGTTTAAAGAAAAAAATTGCGTAATAAATACAAATAAATAAAACGAAAGTATAAATTAAAATAAAAAAACTATACATCTAACAGTTACAGTACTATGAGTATAAAAAACATCGTTGGTCTTTATACAAGAAACTATATAGATGGTTTTAAATCTTAGAATGTGGTTCCGTTGCATCTAAAAGACTGAAAGCCGCTGCTATACATAACTGAATTTAAAATATAGGGATAAAATGACGGAATTATAAAATGACATGTTGAGAGCTGAACTGACAACTGTAACGTTATCTCTAGTGAACCAAGTATATCATCGGTATCATCTTGAGAACCAAGGCCAGAGTCTGCACCGCCTTCACAAAATAAGACACAAAACTATGCAGCCGAAACTCTACTAGTCATCTTTAACCCTGTTAATGAAATTCTCACCGATAACTGGCTTATTCCCCGGATCCCCCTCATCTTCTCTCTCTCCTTCAGACAGACCACAGCAATATATGGCTGACCTAAAGATGTCCTACCCACAATCCTTCGCTCTCTGAGTCTGCTTCTTCTTCTTTTATTTTAATGGCGGGCTGGTCATGAGCACATGCCGCCACCTACTGTTCAATTTAAGACATCGTATTCTATATGCCTTTATCTTAATCCCTTAAAAAATAAAAATAAAACAACAAAATAAAAACCCGCTGACGCTGCATGTTCAGCTCCTCCAGCTTCCACATTGACGCATTACATTACTGTCTCTGCTTCTTCTTCTTCTTTTGTTTAGCACATTCTTTAATGTCAGAGAATTAATGCCAGCAGATTTTAATTCCTATTTTAATTCCTCTATTTTGTAAAAATGGATACTGAAACTATTTTACAACTCTTTTTTTATGTATGTTATATTATTTTGGATTGATATCGAATGTGTATTTAATACTTTAAGTGGAATTAAAATTAACATGGAGAAAAGAGAAGTTATTAAGTTTTACACAAATGTAAGTGTTCTGAAAGGATACCCAATATCACCCATTTTAAAGACTTACAAGTCGTAAAAGCAATCAGAAGAACTATGGACATATACAAAAATAAATAAAGTGCAAAATTGTGAATTTTTGAAATGTTACATGCATGTTTTGTTGGAAATAAATGTAAAAAAAAAAAAAAAAAAAAACATTGCTTAAAAAATATTTATTTAAGGTTTTAAACTTAATTTTAATTTAAAAAGTTGTATAGTTTAATTTACACTACTGTTTAAAATCAATTAGAAACAATTAACTGTAAGTCTCCTTTTTCATTAAATGTTTATTAAAAATGTATAACCTACATGATAAAACCTCCAGTAAAGCTCCAAACAAAAGATTCATGAATGTTCAGAAGAACTAATAGCTAATTATTAGTAGTATATAAGTCCTTTTAAAATATTTTTATTATAATATTTTTTTTAAAGCTTAACATCATATAAGCCATGACTTTAATGTAAATGTAATAATGAAATGTAAATATAAAAAAAATCGACTACAGGAAGTGGTTTGAAACGTGAGCATGCGCAGTGTGTCTTTCACTAACACGTGTTGCGAGACGCAGGAAAGCAGGTAGCAGGGCAGATCTCTAAGCTGCGTTGGTCATTAAAGCGATTTATTTAGTTTATTTGCGCAACCTTAGCCTTTTTCTGTTCACTTAAATAGTACTCTCCTCCGTGAAGCTATTGCCGAGAGGACCAGTGTGTATCTAAGTTAGTCACCGGCTAAAACGCAACAAACACGATGGTGAGTATCACGTGTGGGACTTCTTACTATTTCTCTGATTCGTTCACTAACGTTACATTCAACGTTTAGATGTTTTAATTTTGCCTGCCGAAAGTGTGTTCATACACTAAACATTATTTTAAAAAGATAAGGTTTATGTTTTTATCCATTTTAGCTGTAGATCTAAATACAAACATTGTTGACCTGATTCTATGTGTCGCCGGGTTAACTTTGTGTAACGTTAGTTGGGTGTTTTGCTGATTTGTTCTTTTGTGTGTCCTCTTCACACAGACTGAAGCTGAAGTGAATCCTAAAGCCTATCCTCTGGCAGACGCCACGCTCTCCAAAACCATTCTGGACCTTGTGCAGCAAGCGTCGAACTACAAACAGCTGAGAAAAGGGGCCAATGAAGGTAACGTAAAAGTACCTCCACATGATGGATGTTTCTCCATTAAGACCATTAACAACATCCATGAAAAAAAAAAAAAAAAAAGCATTTTAGGCTACTGGTGATGGGCGCTTTCGAAACACTTCTTCGTGAAGATTAATCTTTTTTTTTTCTTCTCTCGAATCAGTAGTTCGAAGCTTGTATAAAACTCGCCAAGGCCCGCGATTTCAGCAAAAAATGCTTCCTACGTCATCATACCAATAATGATTTCGAAACATTTCAAAATTTGTTTGTACTTAATATGTTGATTACATTAATAAATCTAAATTCCGATGGTTCGCCGCTGGATGGCGTTGATCTGGTGATCCCATGGATGAGTATTTAATGGTTTTAACTGATCTCAGGTCAGTTTATATAATATAGGTTCATCTAATAAATTGTAATACGTATGCGTGTACAATACTTAAAAATAAAAGACTATGCAATTGCTTGCAATTGACCTAATTCGTCTAGCCCTAAATAACACTTATTATTCAGATTCTTCATATTTAATGTATTATTGTATTCCACTTTCATGAAAACATTTTCAATTGGTTTTGTAAAAGGTGTAATTTATGAATTTGTTGCATTTGCATAGTTTATTATTTAATACACATTTTTTCAAGTGTTCACGCTCCTGCTTGACTGAAGTGTGTAATTTGTGTTGTCTTTTGTTGATGGTGTATTGATACAATTATTCTGGTTTTCATTTAATATATCTGTTCATAGTTATATATTTATTTTTTAATATTAACTTAATAGAACTTGATAGAACTTATCAGAATGGGAGACAAAAATAACTGTGATAACCCCAAAAATTACACAAAAAAATGAGTAACTTAATAAATATAAGATCAGCTAAATTATCTACATATTGGGAATGTTACTTTTGCCTGCTCTGACTCTCATTTTCTTCCACAGCCACTAAAACTCTTAACCGTGGAATTTCCGAGTTCATTGTGATGGCGGCTGATGCTGAACCTCTGGAGATCATTCTACACCTGCCGCTGCTGTGTGAGGATAAGAACGTGCCGTATGTCTTTGTGCGCTCTAAGCAAGCTCTCGGACGTGCATGTGGAGTGTCAAGACCTGTCATTGCCACATCAGTCACCATCAAAGAGGGATCGCAGCTGAAACCTCAGATTCAGTCTGTGCAGATGTCTATTGAAAGACTCTTAGTTTGAGCTCATACCTTTCACACCTTTGCTTTCAGGTTTTTTAAACAGTGATCTCTTTTGTACTTTGTTTTTGTTTAGTTTTTTTCTTGCATGCTAAAATCAAGCAATGTTGAGTATGATCCTCAGTTTCTGACAGCCGAAATAAAGTTCGGTTAAAATGAAATGACATTTGTTTGGTTGTTTGTGCAGTATGAACATTTATCAAACCCATCTAACATTTTTAAACACTGGCTTTTTTTAAAATAGAATAAAATGGTCTTCTACTTTTCTGGTGTTACCTAATGCAAACTGGAGAATGTTATCATTGCATATAATTTTTTTCCCCATAGTATATAAAAGTACAGTAAATACTGACAGATGTACACAAAAGATATAGGCAAATGTATTTTAATTGTATATTAAACATTGGAATTCACTGTAGTAAATTGAGATTTGAAGATTATTTTGGTGGACATAAATTTTAACCTTTTTTTTTTTTATGCTTAATTTTTCTTGACTTTCAAAAGTCACCCAAAATGAAAGCAAACAAAACTAAAGAAGCATTTAATCTTACTTCCGTTAAGCCAATGCATTTTCTTCAAACTTTTGCTCATAGCAAATAAAACCTCTTAGGTTAATTGTCATAGAGCTTTTTAATTTTTACTAATTGCAATTTGAGTTTGAGGAAAAAGATTAAGACTTAGTTTTGTTTGGATGTACATTCAGCCTAATGTCTTCCAAATAAGAAGCGATGTTTGTACTACATTTAATTAGTTTTTACATTTTTGTTACATAACTTAGGAGTTTGGACGATAGGATCTGCCCCCTGGATCTCGTGTACTGCAATGAGGTGCTACTGGATGACACCAGTGAGCTGCTGTTCACAAAAAAGTGTGACGTCACGTGTTGTGTGTGGGGGTAGATTTATGCATATTTAACATAAACGTTTAAAGTCGCGATTCAAATGTTTTATTTATTTATTTGATTTTCTTTGTGGTTTTGTATGAAGACTTTTGTTTTAGATATAAGGTGAAACCGAACCAACCACGTGACTTTGGAACCAAAGTCCAAAACAAACAAACCGAGAAGTTTTTGATACCAAGCAAGACAGACACTTGAAAGCAAATATGGCAGAGTCTCCCGTCTTATTGAACAAACATGAGGTGGAACGTTGCCTCAGTTACGAGGATCTAATTCCCAGACTGGAGTCTGTCATGGGAAAGTTTTCTAAACGGGACAGTTCTGAAATAATCCAGCCTGTGAGATCTGTGGTCCCTATACAGCAACACAATGGGTATGAATGAATCCATGTTTCAAAATATTGCTTTCGTTTACTGACATATTTCTATAGAAGTAAACACTTGATGCATTTGTCAGGTTTTTAGGCGTGATGCCTGCATATCTGGCCGCTGAGGGTATTTTATGCACAAAGATGGTAACTTTCTACCAACGTGCAGAGGGCTCCAGTTTACCATCAACTCAAGCCACAGTGTTACTGTTCGATCCCGAGCATGGGCATGTCACAGCGGTGAGACACACAAACCTCATTCCTTTGGGAAACAGATTACCTTCATATCCTGTGTATGTCTGAGATTTACTAAATTGCCACCTGTGTCAATCACATAAGAGTCTACAATAAAGAAAATGAAAAATCTGTTAAAAATGTAGTTTAAAACATGTGCCTAGACACGTGCACGTTACATTCATCTTAATTGGGTTCGAAAAACATTTACACCATTTTCAAGAAAATTTTACATTTAATGATAAGTAAATGTAAAAAGGGTAGAGTGCATAACTATCAATAACAATATTGGAACCATTAAATTTACTATATATTATATATGTTATTAAAAAATAATAACATTTTACTCATATCATGGATACATTTGGAAGTAGGCTACACACTGCAGGTATTATTTAAAAAAAACGTTTGAAAGGTGTTTAATTTAAAATATAAACAATTATTAATTAATATATTATTGTTATGACATGTTTTTAAAAACTTGAACCAAACTTGCCTTGCATTCAAAAATTAAAATGATCTTATATTTTTTAGAGAAAATCTACATGGATGGACTGAGTGGCTCCTCTCTGTGATGTCATGTTGGTTGAACCCCTATGGTTGAACCACATGACAAAATCTTTTGTTTTTTTACTTATTTAGTAAGTAACTTAGTTATTTAGTTATTTAATAACTAAAGTAATTTAGTTATTTAGAGTTGTATAAGGGGGTGGGGGGCAACAAGCTTCTGCTTCATCCTGCTCCTTTTCGGACATATTGTAATTATTGTTTATAATACTTTATAGATATTTTTTTTCCTTCGGTATGTTGCAACATACTTATTGTATTTTTATATTTTGTTTTATTTTTATCTTATCTCGTTCTAAATAAAATAAAGATAAATAAATAAAAGTTTTATTTTTAAGAATGTATTATTTAATTGGTTTGTTTTAAAACATGTTTTATTAAAATTATTGAATGTATGAATTGCATTTTCATTGATTACTTATTGATGAATGATATGTGGGGTAACCTTCAATAACAGAATATTGGAACCATTAAAATAAAAATTAATAACATTTTCATTACCCCTTAGAAATACAATAATTATTTTCAAATATATTTTTGATAAATATAGTCAATTACTAATTCATAAATCACATTTTTGGAGATGGGTGTAAAATATTATTAAACAGGGAATCAGATTTTTATTTTATTTTTTACTTTTTTGTTCTTTATTAAGAATGTATTAATTCATTGGTTGATTTTAGTATAGAGCTAAAAACATGTTAACCATAGAAAATATATAATAATATCATTGTATGTCTGAATTTTATTTATCCTCCCATCCATCCATTAGTGATCAGTCATTTTACTATGGAGGATGACCACACTACCATCCTACAAGAAATAACTGTATAAATCCAGAGCATATTAAAGGAAAGTAAATGTTAGAACAGCATAATTCTGCTCTGGAAATGCTTTAGTTCTGTAACAGTATCTCTAATGTTAGATCATGGATGGGGAGGCCATCACAGCCAAACGAACTGCAGCAGTGTCAGCCATTTCAGCTAAAGTAGGTTCCTCTGAAACAGAACCCAAATTTGTTATGGTGTAACATATAAAGTCACTTATTCTGAGTATGTTTTCTCTCTCCAGCTGTTCATGCCAGCTCTTTCAAAGGTGTTGTGCATCCTTGGTTCAGGGCAACAGGCTAGAAGCCATTATGATGTCTTTACTAAGGTCTTTAAGTTCAAAGAGGTAATTAGTCTGAACATGGGAAGTATGTCCATATATCCAGGTTATAAACTATTTTTTGTGTGTCATCCAGTGTTGTGTTTATTTCAGGTCCGTGTGTGGAGTCGAAGGAGAGAAATGGCTCATCGGTTTGTTAATGATCTCCGAGGCCCTGTTAGAGTTTGTTCTTCAGTGAAGGAGGCCGTGTTGGGAGCTGATGTAATAGTCACTGCCACAGGTGCTAGTGAACCGATACTCTTTGGCGAGTGGGTCAAATCAGGTGCCCACGTAGCAGGTCAGTTGGCCCACAGATTTCCATATTTTGTGAGGATATTGCTTATTGTTAACAATAAGCATATTGCTTATTGTTAAGCAATATGCTACAAGAGCCTATGTTATACTGTGAATATAGTCACGACTAAAGGAAACTGTAAAGATGCAGTCATATTAGCTATATTTATGAGAAATTTAGCAGGCAAAATAATGTCCATTGTTAAAAGTGTAGCAATATTTCAGAGCCATAACCATGTGGGCAAGTGCTCCAACATGTTGTGCGGGTGCACTTTGGGCAACCCCAGTTCATGTCCCAGCTTAAGGTCTTTACCTTAAGTTCAGTTCCCCTCTCTCCTCTCCTATGATTTTCTGTATGTCCTCCTACTGTCCTATCTTAATAAAGGCAAAAAAGCCCCAAAATATAGCTTTAAAAATAAATTATGTAGTAATGTATGTAGCACAGCTCCCACAGAAATCCCTTTCAAACCAAGCAGTTTTCTGTTGGTGAATGTGCCAAATTTGCTTGACCAACTTGAACACAAACTTAATCTGTGTACAATGTTCATAGTTCAGGGAAGGAGCAAAACAACAAAGCAAAAGTAAAGCTCCAACCCCTCATGGATAACTCAAACAAAACAAACTAAAAATTAAGCAACAACATAAAGTCCGAGCCTGGTCCTCACTGCTCCTTCACGTCACTCCTCCTTTTATCCTTCCAGAGCTCCACCGTGAGACTCGAGATCGCTCCATCTCCCTTGCTCGCTCCATCTGCCTTGCTCTGTTCCCATGACTCTCGGCCCAGCCCTGCTTCTTGCCACATACACCCATAGCCCTTCGCAGGCCGGGAGGTACCCCCGAGACTGCGCTTTACATCTGGTTCTCCACCACCTAAGGGAACTCCTCCACGATGCCTGGAGGTGGTGCTGGATACCCCTCGGTGTACTGCCTTTGACTCCTCTGCCCCCTGGTGGACGGCAACGGCTCTGGCTTCAGGCGCCCGGCTGAATATAAAGCCTGTTTCCTCCCTCGCCTGCTCCTCCCCATCAAGGCAAACGGTGGATACTATTCCGTCCCTTTAAGAATGGCAGCTGCCCCTCCAGCACCCTGGTGGACGGCAGCGAGTTCATCCGTCCCCCGGCAAGTCGTGTCGAGCGCCCATGGTGGCAGACTCTGCTCAGCCCTACTCGATGGCACCACCGATTTCCCACAGCGGGAAGGGCCCTTTGACAGCACGTTCCTCCTTCCTCCCGAGTTTCGGCACCAATGTAACAATGTTCATAATTAAGGGAAGGTGGAGGCGGGAACCGGCCAAAGATGAACATAACTTTGGTAATAATATAAACATAAACAACGACGACTGCCGCAAAAACTAAAATAAAGCAACAACATAAAGTCTAGACGTGTCACCTGATCCTCTTTCATCTTTCACTGTCATTACTCATCCTTTTATCCTTCCGGAGCTCCTCCGTGGGACTCGAGACGGGTGTGGCGTGTGTGGCGCTCCATTCTCATGGCTCTCTGCCCCGCCCTGCTTCTCGTCACAATCTGCGCGTGGGACATTTTCACCTTCACGTAAAACTCCTCATTGCGCAGAATATCCACAAACTGGTTGACTGTCGCATGAAGAAATTCAATGACTTCAAGGCACACATGATCCAAGTTGGCTATTAATTATTAGTTTGCATTCCAAACAGGATAAATCCACCTCCAAAGGGCACTTTGGAGAGAGAACAGTCATGGTCGACATATTGAAGGGTCGTTCAAAACTGGCTACTTCAAAGGGCCCTTCGGAATGAAGGATTTTGAAGGGTACAGCCAATGGACACTTTGCTTCCATTTGTGCAGACAAGCAGCATCTAAATACTGTTTCAGTAATATAGTCATAAGAAGTAAACAATGTGCATGTTAACATGATTTTAGTTTTTAAAAAATAACTTTGTAATCTTGTCTGTGTAACGTCGTATTCAATTTTTACAACTTTGTTTCCTAGACAGTATAATGCTGTAAACTGTAAATTGAAGAACAACTTTACATGTTTAAATAGAGTTGAAGTTTTAATAGAATAGTTAATGCAAGTGCTTTTATAAAAATAAGCTTTACATTTCTGCTTAAATCCTCAAAAATCCATTCACCTCTATTGTAACTGCCACACTGGAACCTCGATTTTGCTTCTTTCAAAGAAAATAAAGGACGAGTTGAAATTATTGTGGTAATCAACTATCAAACTGTCAATTGAGCTTAAAGAGTAACTTTGCCGATTTTCAACCTGCTTTGTATTGTTACAATGTCGTTAGTTTTTATAAATGGCTAACAATGTTTTCTTGTTTTCTGTTACCTGGCTTAGAAATTCACTTTTATTTGACTGCAAAAGTCTGCCGGATAACGCAAAACATGGAAAAAATCAAGTGCTTAACGTTTAATCTTTTAATTCTTGCACTTGGGAACAATACAAGTCAAACCCATTATGACAAAGTTTGCTAAGAGGTATTTCCTACTATAGCAAGGCGGTATTTGACTCTGGTAAGCGTATCCATAGCAGACTGGCAGGAGTGGCTTTGGATGGCAACATGCCCAGTGCATTATGGGTGTTGAAGTGTTCTTACCTGTTTGGCAAACGGGAAGGCAGCAGCCTTATTTCTGTTTCTCAGGTAGCATGGATTTCTTTTTTTCTTCTTGCCTTTCTATTGTATAGGCAGCCCATTTTGCCAGCAATGAAGTACCCCTTCTAAGTCGGCATGCAATAAACCCTATTTTCTAAATGCATGTTATAGATCTTATTGTTCATCCATATGTGTTATTTAAAAAAAAAAAAAAAAATCTAAATGTCATAACTGGATCTTCCGGTGAAATGACAGACTTCTCTCTGGTGACATATGTAGGACTTCTCCAAACATTTAGGGCACATACAGTGTGATCCTCTTTACTTTTTGGACCATTCTTTTGACTTAGCCATATTTCTAACAGGCAGTCAAACGTGACACTCAACAAACCTAGCCAGGTCAGATATTTCATGTGTTCTAGCTCAAGCACACCTGGTGCAACTAATGAAGCCCTTGATTAGTTGCATCAGGTGTGCTTGAGACAAAACCTGTTTTGCAGATCTGTGCTGTTGTGGGGGATTCTATTCAGGGGTTTGAATAATTTTGAGACTGCAGAAGTCCATTTTCAGTTGAATTTGGGGAAACCAATTAAAAACATTTGTTGTGTTGAGGTTGTGATGGATTTTTTTTACATTTTCTTGCAGGATTAACAATTATATGCTTTTGAAACCTGAAATGTCTCCAAACACTCAGTCAATCAGTGTGTCTGAATCACGTCCGAACATAACAAAAGGGGAAATGAAACTAGACAAATATCTAAATTTATAAACTCATGACATGAGTTTGCTTCTACCTAGTAACAGAAGGGTTTGCTGAATCAAGCATATGAAAAAACCTATCATATTGTAGGGAAATTATGTAATGTTTCATGTCACCTTTGCCATGCTCCTATTCTAGAAAAACTGTTGTATTCTTTTTGCTGGTGGGATTCTCTCTAAAACTGGTCTGAGATCCTCCAGCCGTGATTAAAGCATATTCGAAGGCATTGTCTGGAGTCTGATTAGTTGCTGCGCAGCAGCTTAGTGGAACACTAGAGACCTTATTCCCAAGTGAAAGTGTTCAAAAAGGAACGAGACGTTGTTCGACTCAGTGTGAGACGCTTAGGCGGGATTAGATTGCGGTCAGGTAACTATAATTCTTAGGCATTTTATGTGATCAGAATAGCTACTCTTAACCGTCAACCAATTTTGCCAATAAACCTGATGTGCAATGGGGGTTGAATAATTTTGATTAGAACTGTAAACCCCACCCCTGCAAGCTTGCATTTACCTGCCACCATTGTTGAGTGCAACGCCAACATCTCAAAATCCAATCAACAACCGATGCATAGAACCAAGTCAGGTCTAATTTTTTTTTTTCAATCCATTAAAATGTCACAATATGGAAAACAATATCAATCACTACTTCCGTTTCATGGCGACTTTAACATGTATTGAAGCCGAAATGTTCTTCCAAAATAAAAAATTACATGACCAGATTAATTTCGCTGCCTTAATAGTGGCCTCTCTGGGTGCTGTGCAGTAATACAAAAAGAAAGTAAACTGATGTTTTACATCATAGTTGTTTACTACATTGTTTTTTTATATATTGTGGTGCTGTTTTGTGACAGCGGTTGGCGCTTGTCGTCCAGACTGGAGGGAATTGGATGACGTCTTGATGAGAGAGGCGGTGGTGTATGTGGACAGCAGAGAGGGGGCTACAGCAGAGTCAGGAGACATAGTTCTGTCTGGAGTATGCATCACTCCCTTTAACACTGTCGGATCAATAAAATACAACTTATTCCACCAACATTTATTTGAGTTACCTTACAATACATGTCCAAATTCCTAGACATTTAAATGCTCATTATTTTTCACCAGGCTCAAGTTTTCGCAGAGCTCGGAGAAGTTATAAATGGATCCTTTCCTGCTCAGCGTGAGAAGACTACGGTATTCAAGTCACTGGGTAACTTGTTTTTCCACAGCTGTGATCCAAAAATCAAGATCAAAATGTACTGTAGAGAAGAAAAAAAAACATTCTCGTCACTGATAGGAATTCATAGTAGCTGAGCGTGCCTTAAAAAGCTTGATGTTTGCATTTCAATCCTCTCAAGAGACAAAAAAGATTTTTTTCTATTTATAATTTTTATTTTGTAAGCTCAAGCAACGCCTGCTGATCTTTAACCAGAAATTTGGGCCTGTCATGTGGGAGTTGAGTTGCGTTTCTTGGTAAGCACAATTGGCTTTATGCCACAGCTTCACTACTTCCTGAACTTCAGCCAGCCCTTTGTTTCCTGTCTGTCATTATTGGACAAACTGATTAATCCAGGTGTGCCTGGCCTCAGTAACAATAATCAGGCACACCTGGATTAATCAGTTTGTCCAATAATGACAGACAGGAAACAAAGGGCTGGCTGAAGTTCAGGAAGTAGTGAAGCTGTGCATAAAGCCTATTAGTCCAGGGACCTCAATTATAAAACACACATGTGATCAGATTTGATTCTAAATTCAATGAATTTCATTCTACATCAAAATTAAGGAACAAATCACAGAATTTGATGTGAAAATGTTGTGTACGTCATGCATTCAAACCTTTTGCGCACATATATACCAGTAATTAAAATAAATAAATGTAAAGAAAGATAATTAGACAATTACAATATGGATTATTATTATTAGTAGTAAATTAGAAACTGCTTTGTAATTAGTACAGAGCTGAATATATTTATATAGATCACGTACACACTCACACATATAACATTGATAAACATGCGCTTGAACTTATGATGATTTAGAAAGGGAGATGCATTTCGGAACATTTTTGTACATATGGACGTTCTTTAAATCGTTTGGAAATTGTTGTACGTCACAATTAGGATAATTCTATGCACATCTATAAAAATAAGGCCCCTGGAATGATACATTTGGCCTGTGTCAGAGGAAACTGGAGACAGCTATTTGTGTTGACTGGATATTTTGCGTTTTTAAATGCAGGTATGGGGATACAAGATGCTGTCTCAGCCAAACTTGTGCTGGAGAAGTGGAACAGCGAACATTAAAGCAGCAGCCAGCAGTTTCCTCCACTGACTGCACAATAGGAGAACTGGCCCCAACTCAACCTGCTTTCTCCCAAGGTCAAACCCATTCTGTCACCTGATGGACTTCGGGTTCCTCGCCACTGTCTCCTCTGGCTTTCTTAGTTGGGGACACTTTACTGTGCACTGTACTGACGCTGCTGTATGAGAACTGAACTGGACGATGACATCATTTTTTGCTGAGCTGCTTTATAGGCAAAAATTGAACTAATTTAATAATTAATGATAACTGAATTAACACTGAACTGACTTAAGCTGAAATGCATAACTTTCCTGTTATCACTTTATAGTTGCTTTGAAACAATCTCCTATATAAATAAAGGTGACTTGACTTGAATCTTCTCATCTGCCATGGTGGTGGCGGTGTCTTTCCCACAATTAACAATTATGCAAACAAAACCGCTCTCCCTCTTTACATAAAAATGACTTATGCTGCATCAGAAATCACATACTGTATTGTATGTACTACATATGGTTTGAAACCGTATGAACGTTTGTAGTATGAATACAATTTTGGACGTACTACATCCGCCATGTTGTCAGTGTCATGTGACCTACGGCGTCAGTTGCGTCGCTTCACCTCCATTCACAAATCGACTCCTGTGGCCTCATGGGAAAGTAAAGTGTCCATCGAACACACACTTCAGAATCTCACTGGAAGTAGTAGGTCATCTGGGGACTTTGCCTACCGTTTTATAAATACTATTAAATTCGAACATACTACTTGGCTCACCTACTACCGTATACAGTATGGAAGTAGGCACATTCGGATGCAGCTAGAAAATTAGGGCACACTAATAGCAATTATCACTTTTTTTCTACAATGAGGTATAGCCAACACTGTATCCTATGACAAATGACTTGCTGGGTTGTACCCAGTTACGTGGATAAACTGATGATTTCAGCAGACATGGAAAACAAAAGACAAAGACAAGGGTTTTTAGATTGGGTTTCTATTTCAGACATAAAGGTTAATACATTGTAGTTTTAGTGGAGACAGTAAAAGCATGAATAAGCATTTCAAACTGCCATGGTTACAGAATTTTTCAAATGAAACATTCCATGTGCCAAATTACAACCGTTTTATTTTTAACCAAGACCAATTGTAAGTTTAATACTTGATGTCCGTAGTCTAACAACAAATCAGTTGAATTACTGTTCTCAAGTATCCACTACATTTATCAGTAGCGGTGTTCATGGGAGGATATCCAATCTTTAGAGGATATAGACCCCATGACAGTGTCTACAGTATAGACATTTCTGACATGCTCAGCTTACCAACAAAATCCTGGTCTGATACTAGGCACTGGTAGATCTGTAGTCTAAATACAATACTTGGACTGTAAAATGGATAAAACACTGCCAGACTCCTCTAACAGACTGACTAAAATACAGAGAGAGATTAAACAAGAGATCTGCCCTTCGGAATATTCAGATACAGTAGTGAAAATATGCTATATGCTGACAAAACAGAGCTATTATATGCATTTTAACTAGGTTTGTTTCTTATACAGTTAAACAAAATAAACTCTCCAACATGGGAACCATAACACATCGAACCAATAAAGTGTTTTCTTCAGCTGTCCTCTAGTAAAATAGTTCCTTCAATATTACTGCAATCTCTGACTCTTACAAGTACACAATTAAAACCCCCCTCCCTTTAAGAAAAAAAAAAAGAAAAGAAAAAAAGAGATTGTTAGTGTGAGCAAATTGAAATCCACGACTTGGTTTAACTTTTGGCAATAATTCATTTTCTACAAAAATGCAGATTGTAAACAATATATATGGGCTCACAAAGATGGAGAAACAGAGAAACTGAAAGGAGTATTTAGTTTCTTAACATCAAAATGAGGGGGAAAATAAAGAAAATCATTAGAAGGCAGCAGGAATTTCTTAAAGTATGATGGGAAACAACTATGAATGCTGCTCCCATCCTTCAGAAGCAAATACTCAGGCGTCTTAACAGCTAGTTAGTGGCGTAATTCTAATTACAATGCAAGAGAGAGAAATATCTGTATGTTTCTTCTTCCCCAACACACATTTCCCATCATCCCTGCCTCCATTGTTCTCCTCTCAGGTGAGCTCAGATTGCAGTTGGTGCTGTCTGTGCAGTCAGTTCAGAAGATATGACACCTCCTCTTTCTTTTCTTCACAGGAGGCGGGCACAGGACCGCACGGATGGCTTCGTCGAACACCGTCTTAAGGCCGCGCTGCGTTAAGGCTGAGCACTCCAGGTACTTCACAGCTCCTGTGGCCGAAACAAAAGAAAACCTAAAGTGGATCCAGACAGCTAAGGCTGGGCAAAGCATACTCAACCGCAGATGAGTGCGTTACAATTGAAAATGGAGATTTTGAATTGAAGATGAAATAAAATTGATGCATCCATACTGTCAACCCAGCCCTAACATACACATGTGTAAAGGCCAGTGTGATGATATTGAAGTGCTGACCTATTTCTTTGGCCATAGCGAGGCCTTGAGGGTAGGTGATGGGAGTGAGCTTCTTCTCTTTCAACTTTTCAATGGTGTCCTTGTCGTCTCTCAGATCAAGCTTAGTCCCAACGAGAATTATGGGAGTGTTGGGGCAATGATGTCTGACCTCTGGATACCACTGTTGAGAAAAAAGAAAAAAAAAACACATTGAGCTTCCATTGAATACAAAATCATTCAATGGGTAGAGAAAATGTGCACAATATACATACGCTATACTCTAGAAATAATAACAGCATGCTAGTGTGCAATTTCCAAACCTAACCTATGTTTTACCCGTGGATAAACACCACAAACTCCTCATTACCAACAACAGCAAATGTCACTTGATCCTTTGAAATGGACGTCGCTGGACATTTTACAGACATAATAGATTAAAAGAACCTTCCGTCTGCTTCATTACAGCATCAACATGCTATTTTGAGGCTTTGAAATCACATTTGCTCAATCTGTCAAGCCAGACAACTATTTTTAGAGCTTCTTCCTCTTTTCCATTCATTGTGATCATTTCGAAAGTCGTCTACATTGACTAAAGGAACAAAATCTCCAAGGGCTTGCTTACCTTCGCACGGACGTTCTCAAACGAGGCTGGACTCACAAGAGAGAAACAGATCAAGAACACATCCTAGAAGAAATGAAAAACACAAATCAGACAAAACTCTCCTTTTATTCCGTCTATTTTCTTTTAGAATTATATGACTATCTGTAAAACACAGCATTGACTAGACTGTTGCATTAATGAACTGTAAATTGACTTCACTTGTTGCCCGAGTGAAACAGAGCAACAAAAAAAAAAACACAGTGAGGTTTGTGCCTAGATGACAACAGCAAACAATTGAGCCATTCACTCTCACAGCCTTAGTAACAAAGACAACGACCACACAGAGCAGCCATTAATGCTCTGAGCAACATAAGAAATCACTTTAGCCTACCAGGAATCAAGACCTGGGCTATTTTTAAACATTTCACCGTCCTAAGGCTTAGTGTTTATTACACTTCCTAAGCAGTATGTCATCAAACTATTTTCGAGATCCTTCCTGCTCTCAAAACTTAAAGGGATAGTTCACCCAAAAAAATGTATTCTGTCATTAATTACTCACCTTCATGTCGTTCCAAACCTGTAAGACTTTCATTCATCTTCTGAACACAAATGAAGATCTTTTTGATGAATTCTGAGAGCTTTCTGTCCCTCCATTGACAGCTACGCAACGCACTTTGATGCTTCAAAAGTTCATAAAGAGATCATAAAACTAATCCATATAAAGTGATCGTGTCTCTTCAGAAAATTCAGACTAAACCGCTCAATTCATATGATGAACAGGTTGAATTTATGCTTTTATTCACATATAAACATTCATCAACTCACAAATCAGTTGTGGTAGACGGAAGCTCAAGGATGTTCGCTTGACGTGCGAGAACCAATTAGATTCGTTCTCGTGTTACGCAGCACGTTTGAGCTTCAGACAGAACCAGTGAGGTTTGTTCTCATGCGCCAAGCAGGTTCGGGTGAGCTTCTGTTTGTTCGCTGATCAATGTTTAAATGTGAATAAAAACCTTAATTCAGTCTGTTCATCATATAAAGCGATTGAGCGGTTTAGTCCAAATGTTCTGAAGAGACTCGATTCATATGGATTAGTTTTACGATCTCTGAACTTTTTGAAGTGTCAAAGTGTTTGTTGGGTAGACTGTCAAGGGAGGGTCAGAAAGCTCTCAGATTTCATCAAAAAGATCTTCATTTGTGTTCCGAAGATGAACGAAAGTCTCACAGGTTTGGAACGACATGAGGGTGAGTAACTAATAACAGAAATTTCATTTTTGAGTGAACTAACCTGTTAAGGCAAAGAGTCAAAATTCTCAAAAATGTTATCCATATGGCTTTTTGCTGCAACACAATTATCTAAATAATGGGTCCACTGATAAACATCTAATTATTTATGAAAAATATTGTGATACATCAGTTTTAGCTCTATTATTATGACAGTACCGTCTGAGGGTAGGAAAGCGGTCGAAGTCTGTCGTAATCCTCCTGCCCTGCTGTATCCCACAGTCCCAAGTTCACCGGCTTTCCATCGACCATCACATTGGCAGAGTAATTATCAAACCTGAATGAAAGTTAATAGCATATATTTCAGAGACACTGCAAACATTAAAATTAATGTGAAATGCACCTTCGTATCTGACATATTTATGAATAAACAGATTATTTAATGGGGAAACATTTATTTTATCCATTGGGAAGTGACTACCAGGTAGATGAATGGGAGTTAAAAAAAAAGCGATTACAAGTCAAAACGATTTTAAAAGCGAAACCAATTTTTTTTTAAAAATTAGAATAACATGCACAGTTGAAACTGGCACAATAAGACCAGGAATGTAGATTTACAAAGTAGATGTTGGAATCAAGAACAGGAACAATAATTATACTAATGTAGCATTGTAATATAACTAATTATTATATATTATAATTAGTAAATATTATAATACAAATTGACAACATATTGAAAATCATTATTTTATATTTAATACTCATATTCAACTAAAAGCTGAAAACTTTTTAATGCGTTTTCTTTTTTACTTTAAACTAAAGGGACAGTTCACCCCGAAATTAAAACTTGTTCCAAACCTGCATGATTCTAAATCTGCAGTACACAAAAATAAAATATTTTTAAGAACATTTGTTTGAAAGAAATGGTGGCATAAATAATGTAAATAATGACAATTTTCATTTTGGCTGAACTGTCCCTTTAGGAAACTCAGGGTAAGAGTGAGGTCGCCTTACACAGTGGGAATGTACTCCCCAGGAAAAGCATTGGTGGTGTAGCTGATCAGAAGGCATGTTTTTCCCACAGCCCTGAGGGAAGAAATAAAACATCTCAAAAATCACCAGTTACAGATCTGATTATGTGATATAAACTGATACCATCTTCTATATTTGCTTTTCAGCTGATTCATTTCACTATTAAAATGAAATAGGGCAAAACATTATTTTAAACATGACACTGCATATGAATAATAGAAGTGGGTTTGGTTGACTTTATTAATCACTGCAGCACTCCCACACATTCAGACAGCATTTGCTCAAGTTTACTGTATGACGTAACATTTAAAGGAAAACTCAGGGAAGGGCTAACGTTCGTTTAGCAACTGCAAAAAACCCTAATAAAACAGTTTGACTCCAGTCCATAAATACACGGACATTATAAGCTTAAGTCGAGAATCATTCACAAGTCATTTTTGCTGCCACAACATAAAGTGGAAAACAGATTTAATGAGCTATATAGATGGGAACTTTTATTCGTCTTTGTAAGTTACCTCACATATGTATATTATATAACGTTACACACATAGACGCGATTTTAACATTTCTGTGAGCTACAAAGACGCACGAAAAGTTCCCAAATCAAAGGCCCTCAAGTTACCTAAACTCAAAACACAAGAGAGCAAACCAAGAAACGGCTGATACCTGTAAAACATTATTCCAAGACAAATATAATACTGAAAATAGGGGAAAACTCACCCGTCCCCGACGACCACACACTTTATGGCCTGCATCTGTGTTCACTTAGCACGCTAGCTTTATCTGTGAATGAATTAATAAAAGCTGCTCTGACCGGGATAACCCGTCCTCAAAATTCAACACGCACAAAACAAGAGATGAGTCGATAAAAGTTGAACGATAATGTGAATTTTCGCTCAAACTCGACGGAGTAAAGTTAGCTAGCCGACCGCATTCCAGCGCATTTGCTTCTGTTGTTGCTGCTCCAGTTAAACAAACAGCCACCACCCTAAAATCTCAGTAAGATCCCGGTCTGCACACACACACACACACACATCCCGACCCGTCCCAAACAATAAACATACTCTCTGCTGCCTCTTGATGGACTGGAGAGGATCTACGTCTCACACTAACCAGGAACAGTCCTAGTTCGATTATAAATATTATCAAAACTTTCATGCCTTGCATGATCGGAAGTAACTGTAATTAATTTAATGCCTGATTCAATTCCATCAAATGCTGTATAGACATCTATAGGCTATAAAACAATAGATTTAACATAACATTTTAACATAAGATGTAAAAATTGTATGTAACCTTCTCCCTTCAAATTCTTTGGTCAGTTCAAGAATAAAACGCACTTTTATATTATTTATTTGAAAGAATTAAAAGAGCAGTTTCAAGATGCATTGCATCGAGGTTGATATGGGATTTAGAAAATAATTAGTAAATATAGCTGCGAGCAGCGATTACGGGCCCAAGCCGGTGGCACCGCAACCCCGGTGCCTTTAGTAACCTAAAGGCACCGGAGTGGCGGTGCCGCCGGCTTTGGCCCTTCATCGCTGCTCGCAGCTATATTTATATATATATATATATATATATATAAACAAGCCGGTGGCACCGCCACCCTGGTGCCTTAAGGGTTACTGTGCATGACGGGTAATAACTTAACCCCGCTTTGACTGTTGAGAAGATGTGTGCTGTAGAGCTTGCATTGGTGTTTGTGTGTGTGTGTGTGTGTGTGTGTGTGTGTGTGTGTGTGTGTGTGTGTGTGTGTGTGTGTGTGTGTGTGTGTGTGTGTGTGTGTGAGAGACGTGATTGAACAATGTAGACATAAAAACATACTCCGTCCTTTTGTTCATACAGGACATTATTCAATCTGCAAACTGTTTACTTATATTTGTGTACAATCGCAATAAAACACAACATTGTGCTTTTGTCAAACTGTAAACTACAAATGTCACCCAACCAAAATCTCTTACACACACACACACACACACACACACACACACACACACACACACACACACACACACACACACACACACACACACACATACACGTAGTTTAAAAGCAAAAAAAATCTTTTGGACATTCAGCATATTGCATTGGTTTTCATTTCTTGGTCTCGAACAGAGCCCTAATCTGTTTATTTTTTCAGTTACACATTCTACATTGATTAAAAAAGAAAAATCAAATGTGTTTTTATTATATACAGAAATAAATAATCTATCATTCAGATGAGAATAAAGTTAGTGTTAGTTTAAATTTTAAGGAAAACAAATATATGATCTGATATATAGCACATTCGTTTAAAATTCATTCAGGTTCAATTACCAAACATACAAATCTTAATGTAATTTAAAGCAAACAATACATTTAAAATATATGGGTTGTATGCCTATTTTTTTATATAAAAAGATATATATCCAAAAAGACAAGGCCTAAACTTTAACAAGGGTTAAACAATCACTGTAACAGACACAATCACACACACACACACACACACAAACACACAAGTCAAATCACTTACATTTTAGATGCAATATTGACTTTTTTCTGTTTCAGCAGCGAAAATAGTTAAACAAAGATCACAGCAGAACCATCGAGCATCTCACAGCAACGCGTTCTCATTACTGAATGATTCAGCATTTTGAACGAATCGGTTGACTCAAAGATTCAATGACCAATCCATAATCTGTCTCATTCATGAATGACTCAACCGTTCGAACGAATTGTTTGAACGAATGAATCAATGACTCGCTCATTAAGACGGTCGCCTGGCGACACCTAATGACGGTTTAGTGTTATGTTTACAGTTTTTTACAATCACTTTGTTACTATTTTCAGAACCTTGATGTCATTTTTCACAACTCTAGACACAAAACTCACAACCAATGATCAAAAAGCACATTTTTCAAAACTCTAACCCTTTTCTCAATTGCTTGGATACAATACACATAAAACTTAGATCATTTGTTCATTCAACAAAGATCACCTGTTCAATATGACACAACTTAACATCAAAGTACTACTATTTCAAAAGGCAATTCACACATTACATTTCAAATGAGTGTCTATTCATTTCCTTACAATGATCTAACTGTCAATTGATACAGCTGCTCAAAATGATAAGTAACTGTTGCATTACTCTTAATGCATAGTTGTATGGAAACAGACAAACAATATCCCATGTTTACAGTAAATCATGAAAGTTTCAAGATAATGAGATTCATTGTCACCAATTAGCATGGCATGAACCAATTAGACTACAATATCCATGGATGTAGCCTAATATTTTATCATACTGTAATGCTTCATCAGACACTGTGTCTATGGTGCCAAATACTGTACCACCTTTTCAGACTATGTACAGTATTGACAGTTCAGTACTGTATAGATGCAGGCCCTTGTAACTGCGTGTCCAATTCTGCCAATCACAGCAGAGCAGTGTCAGGCCTGGACTCGCCATGCCAAAGGTTTTTTCCAAGATGTCATTTTCCAACATCCATTGTGATGTAGATGAGAACCTGTGGCCAAATCCACAACACAGAGTTGATGACAGTGTAGAAGTACAGTAATCACTCCTGTTTAGTTTCTTACAGCAAGTTGAGGAACACTGCATTTGATGTTTTACAGTACTGTCTTTTCTTTTCTATTTCATAGCTAATTATTTTTGCTTTGATTCAAAAAACCATGTTGTGATTGTACTGTAGTGTTTTGCATCAATATATTACAAACTTTGTTCACAATGATTCCACTGTGTCTGTAATATTCTCTCTACTACTGCAGTACTTTTACAGAGATGTATTTACTGTACATGTAGTACCATAATGAAACCTGTATCACCTATTTTGCTCTACAATATTTAATGATTGTACGAACAATGACACAGTGAAACTATCGGTTGCTTGTGTGTGGGTGATCTATAGTTATGTTTCAATGGTATTTCACAGTTAATTTGTTTTTTGAACCAATGATTGTGCAAGTGCAAGATTTCTTTAAAGATGTGAATGCACAATGCAATGTTTTGAACATTAGACAGCCTGTGTTACAAGTGATTATCGTTTTGAGTTTTGTGTCTAGAGTTTTGAAAAATTACATCAAGGTTCTGAAAATAGTAGCAAAGTGATTGTAAAAAACTGTAAAAGTATCATTCTTCCCAACGATTTTTAATTGACTTATATTTAAAACAATCTCATAATATTATTTAATGCATTGTTATTTTTCAGTGTAAACGATTTAATTTGATCAGCCCTACCTAGAGTAAAAGCCATATAGTGTCTTATCATTCTAAATAATTGAATTTATTGATCAAATTTACAAATTAAAAATGAAAGATGAAGCATACATTTAATAAGACTGGACCGGGGTGCCCTGCATATATTACAATTTGCAGATTTAAATATACCATTGCCCCCCACCGTCAATTTGATGTGTGTGTTTGTGTGTGTGTGTGTGTGTGTGTGTGTGTGTGTGTGTTTAATAAAATCATTTAGTCACTACAATTAAAACCTGAACGGGTTTGCTTACTAAATTGTGAGCTGAACGAAAGTTGCAGCAAAGATCAGCAACCGGAGTCAAATTTCATTAATCACGAGTTGAGAGTGAGCGTCTCTCTCTGCTGTGTTATGCTGCATCACACGGGCATTCATAACGCTGCGCGTCCACGACGATGAGCGAGCAGAACAGAGTGAACGTTTTTTAGTTCATTCCTACTTCCATAGGAATTCCCTCGAGCGCTCTGCACGCGCCACCATTATCAATGTCCGTGTGGACGTCCGCGATCGAACAGTGGAAACATTGGCTACTCCGTCATTTTATTCAAGAAGATCATTCAAACTGCAAAGTGTTTACTTATTTTTGGATACTCGCAATCAAACACAACATTGTGATTTTGTAAAATACATTCAAGAAATCCGCCCCCGAAATGGGGCTTCTTTTAAAATGAAACGAAAATGCTCACAGCTGCACGTCTTGTGGAGACGTCCGTTACTTTCGCTTTCAAGTTAGCGACTTTAAAGCCCCCAGCGGAGTCACGGTGGAAAAATATTCCCATAGTAGCATCCCTACAATTTAATACAATTGGCCTACCTGATTTTGAACACAAGAGGGCAGTAAAGCACTATGAATGATTTTTATTTTTTTTATTTTTTTGGCTAAACAACCATTCTGGCTGTTTTTAAACTTAAACATAAATCTTAAATTGAAAAAAAGGAATTCAATGGGTTTAGTTCTAATATTAGTATAATTTTATAGAAAAATAAATGGTGTATAATTACATTTTAGAAAGATATGAGACATTTCCTGATTCTCTTTTTGACATAATCCCTCGCCATAGCAAAACCGTTTGAGATATTCAATATCCGTTCACAATTTAGCATCTTTAATGTATTTTCATCAAGTTGAAAAAGTTTTGTAACTGTAGATGAAACTACCCCCCCCCCCCCCCCCACACACACTTTTGTCACAAAAGGTGGCGCTACTGAGCCCCTGCACCACGCCCGTTTCTGAAACTTTGCACATGTCTACTGGCTAATAAATGTGATCTGTCTGTCGAGTTTCATGCAATTTTAAGCAATTTCAGGCATGCTAAGAGTCTCAAAAGCATCCAAAAAGAATATTAAAGTTTGATGCGTTGCCATGGCAACAGTATCTAATATATCAATAATCCTTTCACAGGTCTACATCTGGCGAGTGTCTACATTATACACATCAAGTTTGAAGCAAATCGGGTAAAAATAAGAGGGTGATTTCAAAGCATTTTGAAAGTGACACACTTCCTGCTGCCAGTTGGTGGCGCTATAACTTTGACTCACAGTAGTCACATCCATGTGATCGGCCTCTTACAGCGAACACACTGTTGAAGTTTAATCAAGATCAGGCACCGGGGTTGCGGTGCCACCGGCTTGGGCCCGTAATCGCTGCTCGCAGCTATATTTATATATATATATATATATATATATATATATATATATAAAGCCGGTGGCACCGCCACCCTGGTGCCTTTAGGGTTATTGTGCACGACGTGACACAAAATATCTGCTTGCT